TGAGGAGATCATGACCTGAGCCAAAATCAAGTCAGATGCTTAACTGACTGAGCCACCCAGGTGCCCCAACATGTTGTATATCTTAAATTCACACAATGTTATATGTCAAATATATTTTGAGAAAAAAAGAGAACATCTAAAAAAAAAAAAAAAGGAAAAATGCATATGCTAACGTAACCCCTACCCCATCAGGACACAGAACATTTCCAGAAAGTTCCCTCAAGCCTTTCCCAGTCAGCCAGCAACCCTGATCTATTTTGCATCATCATAGATTGATTTTGCCTTTAGTGATGATTTTTGATAAACAGAAGCTTACAAATTTTAAGAAGTCCAATATATATTTTTTTCTTTTATGGTCAGTACTTTTATGTCATGTTTATTGACAAATATTTGCCTGCTCCAGAATCATAAATTCCCTTATAATTTCTTTATGGTTTCTGCCTTCATATTTAGGTCTATGATCCATCTGGAACTAATTTGTGTGTGTGTGTGTGTGTGTGTGTGTGTGTGTGTGTGTGGTGTGAGGTAGGAATCAAGGTTCTTCCCGCCCCCGCCCCATACATATATCCAGGTGTTCCAGTAGCATTTATTAAAGAGATCTTTCTTTTATCATTCAACTGACCCCGTGCTACCAGCGCAGAGACCAACGCAGGGCTCAATCCCGCAAACCATAAGATCATGACCAGAGCTGAAGTAAGATGCTTAACCGACTGAGCCATCCAAGTGCCCCAACATGTTGTATATCTTAAATTTATTAATCTAAATTTACATAAATTGTATTTGTCCCTTTGTCATAAGTCTAGTGACCATACAGGCAAGGTCTGTTCCTAGACTCTATTTGGTTCCATTTGATTCCTTTTTATCAGCAATTAAACATGGTCAGGTCTCCCTGCTGCCTAATCCCCTCTGACCCTCCCTTAACTCCATTCTCTCCTTTCAACTCTCTACTTCAAAACAAAGCTATTTTAACAGTTCACCATTTTCACCCCTCATCTCCCACTTTCTTCCGCAATCCCTTCCCAAGGTTGGCTCTGTCACACCCATAAAACAGCTCCCTCCTGGTTCACCAATGACCTTTTGCTGATTAATCCAATTCATCTTGCCTTTTGCCCCACGTGGCCACAGCCTTTGACAGCGGTTTCCACCTTCCAGTCCATGGATCCCTTTTCCCTGTTCTGTGACTTGCACTCTTGATTTTCTTCCTATCTCTTCAGCTACTCCCATCTCTTGCTACTCTCCCTTTTCCATCCCTAAGGTCAGGGCTCCTTGAGGCTCAGTCCCAGGTCCTCTTCTGTCTCACTTCCCACATCCTCATCTGGGGCACTCATCTCCTCCCACGACTCAAATCACCCTCCACGGTGAGGGTTATCCACTCTGGCTGCACATTAGAATCCCCTCTGAACTATGGGGAAATCCCAGTGCCAGGTAGAATCCTCAGAGGTTTTATTGGTCTAGAGGTGGGGCCCAGGATTTGGTATCTTTCAAATGTTTCCAGTCTTCATTCTGAACCACTAAGAAGTATTGAGATCTGCTAGTGATGCCCAAATCCTTCACTCCAGCATGTCTGTCTCCACATAACGCCACCCTGCAAACTCAGCTCAAATCTGAGCTCACCTTCCTCTCCTTTCCAAACTCACACCCCAGCAGCATTTACTTGAGTTAGAAACCCAGGGGTTATTTTTCGTTCCTCAGCTTCCCTCACTTCAGACATCCTCGTGGCTAGCCAAGTGTTGCTAAATTCCTCCCCAGACAATTCACCTTTTTCCACCCCTGTGCCTACTACAAGCTGAACGTTAGGGGCATGGGGGTGAGCAGAGCAGACTTCCTGCCTTTATAGGACTTACAGTTTAGTAAAAGATGAGTGGGAATGGGAGTGAGTGAGTGAATCAACAATCATGTATTTAATCTCCCTGACATGGTCCTGAACATCGCCCTTGCCTCCCTGGTCACTTGGTGTAATTTGTACGTTTATTTTTTACAGCTTTATTAAGGTTTGATGGACATATATTACCAGCATGTACATTAACAGGCACAGTTTGTTATGTGTTGACTTATATACACCCATGGATGTGGGTGTATGATCTGATGGGATCAGCATCACATTTCAGATAACGAACACATTCATCACGCCCAACAGTTTCCTCCTGTCCCGTAGTAATCTCCCACTGCTAACCTCCCACCAAGTCCCCAGACAACTCGCTATAGATTTGCTTGAATTTTCTAGAATTTTATATACTTTTTTTTTTTTTGGTCTGGCTTCTTTCATTCAGAATGATTATTTTCAGATATATCCATATTGTAGCAGGTATCAGTAGTTCATTCCTTTCATTCCATCAGAGGAATATGATTATACCTCTATTTGTTTATCCATTTACCCATTAATGGACATTTGGATTATTTTCAGTTTGGGACTCTTACAATTAAAGCTGCTATGAATATTCATATACCGTGTGTGTGTGTGTGTGTGTGTGTGTGTGTGTGGATAGATGCTTTCATTTCTCTTGGGAAGTACCTGGGAGTAGAATGGCTGGGTTCTGTGGTGGGAGTATGTTTAGCTTGTTAAGGAACTGCCGCACTATTTCCCAAAGTTGTTTCATGTTTATACTCCCACCAGCCATGAATGAGAGTTCCAATTTTTAAACTGGGTTGTTTGTCTTCATACTGAGTTGTAAAATCTCTTCATATATTCCAGATACAAGCCCTCTGTTGGCTATATTTTACAAGAATTCCAGTCTGTGCCTTTCCTTCATCATTTTCTCAATAGTGTCTTCGAGGAGCTAAAGTTTTGTATTTTAACAGCGTCTAGTTTATTGATTTTTTCTTTTATTATTTGCGCTTTTTAATATTGTATTTCAGAAATCTTTGCCAAACTCAAGTGGTAACTAGGACTTTCTCCCCCTAGGTTTTCTTCCAGAGTTCCATAGTTTAGCAATGACAGGTCTGTGATCCATTTTGAATTTATTTTTGTGTATGGTGTGAGGTAGGGGACTTCTACCGGTCTTACTCCTCCTCTAATCCACACTGTAGGGTGGTTTGGCCAACATTCAAATCTTACCATGTCACTCCCCTGCTTAAATGGTCTCCCACAAGGCAAACCAACCAGCTGCAGCTGTGTAGGTGCCTCGGCTCACAGCTGGCCTTAGCTGACCTCTCCAGTCTTTATCTCCTTGTTCCGTGACCACCAAAAGCTACTTCTCAGATATCGAATGTTCCTCCCTCGCCCCTGGGTTTGGCACATGCTGTTCCTTCTGCCTGGATGCACACTCCCCCCACAACCCCATCTTCCCTATCACCATAAACCTCTGGTGTTTCTTGTGGGTCCTTCCCAGATTAACTTAGACATTGCCTCCTCCCCCTGGAGCCTTGGACAGGGTTCAAATGATGCCTCTGAGCCCCCAAATTGTGCTGATACACTGCTGGTCGCTGGAATCATAATTATCTAGTTATCTGCTTGTTTGTCCCTCACCCAGCTCCTTCAGGGCAAGGACAGGTTTCCCTCATTCAAGACATGAGTCAAAGTATTTAACAACCTCTCCAGGACACACTGGCTGAAAATCAACCCGGCCTTGGGGTGTTTGGGTGGCACAGTCGGCTAAGCATTCAACTCTTGACTTCAGCTCAGGTCATGATCTCAGGGTTCGTGAGATCGAGCCCCGTGTCGGGCTCCATGCTCTCGGTGCAGAGCCTCCTTGGGATTCTCTCTCTCTCCTTCTCTCTCTGCCTTCCCCCACCACCCTGCTTGTGCTCTCTCTCTCTCTCTCTCTCTCTCTCTAAATAAAATAAACTAAAAAAGAAATTGAAAATCAGTCTGGTCTTTATCTGTGTTCTCGGTGGCACGAAGGAGGCCTGGTCTGTTGTGGCGTGAACGCCCCAGGCATTATGCCTGCACACCGTCCCCTCCACCTGGGCATTTTGCTCCTAGGCACACTGACCTCATGTGTGCTCCCTTGGGGGCGGGGAGGAGGCCTTTGGGAAAAGGAGGAGCTGGGGCTGGAGAGGGCTGCAAAAGCGGAGGTTTGGGCAACGCAGGTTGTGGAGGTTGAGGAAGAACGGGCCCAGGACCTCAGTTTGGGGTGGGTTTCGGGGCCTGAGTCGGGGCACAGGGGGGAAACCCTGGGGAGGATCTGTGATTCAGGAGCTCCGGGCCCCAGGCAACTTCAAGGCTTTTGCACGGTCCTGCCAGCTCCGGCCAGGCAAGGGGGTGAACCTGAGGTCACCCCAAGCCTCTTGCTTGCTCTCTCAAACAGCCGCCTACCACAGGGGACCCGGGAGGCCAAGTCAATAACGTGAAACCATAAAATGTCGAAGGCGTTGAAAGTTTGGACAGAGGAGCAGACGCAGCAAATGGGGCCTTTTCCCAGGCAGCTCGTGTGGAACAAGCAAAACAGATTTATGAGCGTCTGGTGGACACGGAGTTGTGGGGGTTGGGGTGGGCGCTGGCCCGAGACGCGGATGTTTCTAGCGCACAGGGCAGATGATAAATGAGAATTAATTGCACAGGTCCCATGACCATGATTTAATATGCACGAAACTCTGCCTCTTCCTTTTGTGTGCTTTGTTACAGTGTCATTTGGAGGAACATAAATGTATTTATCGGCGCTTTTGTGGGCTCTCCCAAGGCCTCCCAGTCCCCACTCAGTCCTCTGTTCTCCGAAAGGCAGACAATCAGAGAGAGATATTGGCCTCTGCGTGTGTATGGGGAGAGGGGGCTGCAAGCCCGTCCTTGGCTGGGATTGTGGGCTCCCATGTAGCTGCATGGCCTGCCTTGGGGTCATGGAGCACATCTCATTCTTGCTCTAGACTCTGGACCGTCCGTGAGGCTTCGAACGTGCACGTGTACGCGTGTGTGCACCCTTGAGCTTTTCCTGAGTGCCAGACTTTGCCATAGGGAGGACCGAGGAGCTTGGCTGTTTGGAACCATCCCTCCCTCCAGCCTGTCTCTCGGGGATCAGCTGCTTTGTGGGGGTATGGTTTTCCTGACACCCTCGGCAGCTTCTTACCTTCCAGCACGGTCCAGGAAAGATGATGCATCCGTTTCTCAGATGCCCTTGGCTGGTGTGGAACAGGTGGAGGCTTCTCGGGTTCCAAGGCAGCCTTGAGACGTGGGAGGAACAGAGATTGTCTGGGCCTGGTCACCTCAGCCTCTTTGGGTCCTGACGGGAGCCCCTGTCCACCCAGGTTAGTGGAGATGGGTTGATCAGAGTCAGAGAGCCTGGGAGGTGGCTGCCTCTTCGGGAGCTGCACGTCCTTGGGCTGACCCTTCTCCCTCCCCAGGGCATCCCTGAGCCACCCTGCCTCAGTCACAACCACCCCAACCACCAGCACCTCGGCCAGCCCCAGAGGGCCCCGGGCTGGTCCCCAGTCTCCAAAGCCCTGGGCCCAGTGCGGGGGGAAGCCGCAGGGGCCCCAGGGGCTCAGAGGCCGCAGCTCTGGGGGCTGGAATCCTAGGCAGGTGGCCGGGGACCTGGTGTCTTCGAGGAGCTTACTTACAAACCCTCCGGGCCTGCCGTCTGGAGTCTCAGGCAGCAGTCGTCTGATTGCCACTGTTTGCTTCTGGAACTCCAGTCCTGACGGAAGGGAGTGTGTTTGGGAAGTGTTAGGCCGGGCTGTCAGCGCATCATAAAGGACGAGCAAGATCAACAAAGCCCCCGCCACCTTGCACACCACCCGGCTCTGCCACCGGGCGGTGTCCTCCCCGCCCCCCCCCCCCCCCCCCCCCCGGGCGCCCCCCCGGCCGGGGCGGCGGGGGGGGGCCCCCCCCCCCCCCCCCCCCCCCCCGGCCTGGGGATCTACAGCCTATTGGGGGCCTGGTGGGGAAACCTCAGCCCAGGGCCGCTCAGCTGCATGAGTACTCCAGCTCCCGAATTTCCCGAGGTGGGGGCACCAACTTTGGTCATCAAACAATCTAGGGTGAAGGTGTGACCTCAGGTAACCTGTCATACTGTCATACCAGGGTGTCTGAGAACTGCCCCAGTATTTTGCTTCTGGGTGGAGAGAAGAGATGCGCCGAGGGGCGCCTGGGGGCTCAGTGGGTTACCCGTCTGACTCTTGATTTCAGCTTAGGTCATGATCTTGCAGTCCATGGGTTCGAGCCCCGTGTCGGGCTCTATGCTGATGGGGCACCGGAGCCTGCTTGGGATTCTCTCTCTCCGTCTCTCTCTCTCTCTCTCTCTCTCTGCCTCTCCCCCACTCTCATTCTCTCTCTCTCAAACTAAATAAACTTCACAAAAAAAAAAAAAAAAAAAAAAAGGAAGCGACAAGCCTGAGTAGCAGCTTTGGGTCCCTTAATTGTCTCTAGGGACATCAAGGTGACTGCCATCACCATCGTATTTTGCTGTGAAAAACTCTAGGCCTCTGAGGATTTTCCTGTCCAGCCCAAGAGGTCTTTCACCAGAAGATTCGTGGAGGGACATCAGAGGACTTGCTAAATTTTACCTGTATGCTTACAGGTGCATTTTTCCGGGCAGAGCCTCAGAGGTCAACAACTGTAGCTCAGGGAGGGGAGGGACAGAGGGACGCACAGAGAGACAGGCCCCAGGTCTGCAGTGAGGGCTGAGCACAGCCCTTCTAGATGCCCAAAGGCGTGCCAAAGGAAAGTGAGAGGCGAATGAGGCCAAGGTCACACACACCTGTAAAGGAGAGAGCCGGCCTGGAAGCCTGGCCTGGAGGTCTGCGGGCTGTCTCTATCAGAGACAGAGCTACAGATGGCAGGCTCTGGGTGGTGTGTGTGTGTGTGTGTGTGTGCTCACACCCTCACGTGCAAGCCTCCCCACCCCCCCACGCACATGCACACACACATGCACATCCATGAACGCAAACCCCAACACACACACGCGTGCGCATCTGTGAGCACCCAGGGCACGCCCTGCCCCCCGCCCCCCAGCATGTGGCAGAAAGAGAGCAGGTTCCCACCCGGCACCCACCGGCCGAGCCCTCGCTCACGCCCGTGGGTGATAAGCTTTCCCACCACTGCTCCGGGCGGGTGAGGCTCAATGAAATGATGGATGAGAAGCCCGGGGGCCCAGGGGCCCAGGGCCCGGGCGACGAGCGAGGCCTCAGCAGGATGGCATGCAAACCCCGTCCAGACTGGGGCGTCACCCGGAATAAGATCATGAGGCAAACACGAGCAAGGCTGTAAACACGGGCAGACGATGGGGGAGACGGGCCCTGGGGCTCCATAAAGAGTGTCCAGCCCGCCAGAGCTCAGGGCCCGCTTGGCTCGGGGGCGGCCGAGGGGACGGACGGTGGGCGGGGGGCTGCTCCGGGCTTGGCCGGGACAGCCGTCTCGGGCCGCGGCTGGCCGGTCCAGCTCCGATTTGGCCGGGAAGCCTGGCCTCCGCACAATAAACAACAGATAAATCGCAATGTGTCTGGAACTGGTGGAGAGTGGGGCGAGGTGCACGGGGGTCACCAGAGGGCCTCTCTCCCTCCTTGGCAGCCTCCCCCTGGGAGGAGGGCCCGGCGCTCCAGGGGGACTCAGCCCTGGAGCCCCGAGAAACCGCTGGGGGTCAGGGGTGCTGGGACCAGAGACAGGATGCGTGGAGTATGTGGAGCCAGAGAGGGACTTTGAGGTGAATTTCCACCTGGAAAATTCCAAAGGAGTGTGAGGGCTCGGTGTTGGGTTGAAGGGCTGGAGGGCGGGGGCGGGGAGGGCCCCCCCCCCCCCCCCGCTCCTCTCCCCCAGCCTGCAAAGCCTCAGCTGCTCTGGGCACCCCCAGCCAGGGATTGGCCCCGAAGCACGGGACCCTCCCCTTTTCTAGAAGAGGAAGCGGAGACAGAGCAGTGAGGGCTTTGTCTTCCCGGCCTCTACCCTGCCTCCTCTTTGTGCACCCCCCCGGAACCCCTCCTTGGAGTCTCCCCCTCGCCCCCAGGCAACCTCATGCACCCGCTCCACCTGCTGAAAACCCCCTCTGGGGGCTGCATTCTGGAAACGTCCACCTGCACGGCCCCCAGGCTCCTTGTAGGCTCGGGCCCCAAAGGGCCCACTGCACTGCTCCCCTGCTGTGGACCTCACCCCTACTGCCCCAGCCAGAAGCCAGGGTGCTGGGCCTGACCCGCTCACCCTTCTCCACTACCGGGCCCATCAATTCCTCCTCCCCAGGTGGCCCTTCCTGTTCCCTCCCGTCTGCCCCCCACCCCCGGGCAGCTCGGCCTTCCGTTCCCCGTGGCTGACGCGGCGGCCAGGAGGTTCTGCGAGAACAACTTTGTTCCCCTCATTGGCTCCGCACAGTCTTCAGGACAAAAGCCCGTTCTTAGGGTGCCAGAGGGCCCACCTGGCCTGTCACTCGTCAGCCATTACCTTCTGTCCTCTACCACTGGACACCCACCCAGGCGACCTTTTGCAGGGCCTTGAATTTCGCCATGTTCCACCCGCCACCAGGTGCTCCTGGAATGTTCTGGCAACTCACCCCCTTCCCTAGTCTGAGCAGGAGTTATGGCCCTGCCCCAGGAAGCTGATATGAAGGAAGAGACTTGGACCTGCCCTGAGAAGTAAGTTAGTCTAAAGGGGGAGACACAGTCATACTCTGCAAAGGGTTTGAGGGGGGAAGGCACAGCCTTGGCTCAAAAGTCTAGTCTGAGGGGGGCACGGGGCCTCCTCTGAGAAGCCCTAATCAGAGCAGGGAGCTGTCACCCTGCCCTGAGATCTGTGACCTGCGAGAGGATGTGGCCCTTCTCTGACAAGTCTGCATTCAACTGGGAAGGTCACTGGGTGTGGGCCTGCCCCCAGGACACCTTCAGTTCCGGGGAGGGCCTGTCAGCACCGGGTACAAGCCCGAATCCGCCTTCAGGCAGCCCGGGCCCAGGCGACGCCAGAGAGATGCCAAACACAGGGCCAGGCCCGATGACAGCGTTGGCCCTGCCAGCGGCTGTAGGGCCAAAGCTGGGCACATCCAATACTGGCCCCGCCGGCCTGCCGAGGAGCGCAGAGGGCAGGGGCACTGGGTGGCCTGTGGGTAGGAGGGGAGGCGGGCACCCCTGTTCCCCTAACCCAGGCAGCCCCTTGTCCCAGGGCAGAGACATCTAGGACCACTCTGCTGCCCTCACAGGCCCACCCGGCCACATCAGGGCGACTTCTGTGGGCAGAGGGGTCCCAAGTCCTTAGTTCTTGGAGTATAGGTCCCCAGTGGCCCACTTTGAACCAGAAGCTCCTTAGAGAACGCAGGGGTGGAGAGTCACTATCTGCCAAGCGCCCACCATGCGCTTTAGCAGCACCCCGGGGGGAAATGCCCGTGTAGGCTCAGATAGGGTGAGTGGTTTGCCCCAAATGCACAGCCAGGGGGTGGGAGAGCTTAAATTCAAATCCAAGCCCTCCCACGTACCAGGCTGCCTCAAAACCTCCTTGGAGGGGGTCGGGTCTCCCCTATCAGACACCAATAACTTGTGCCTCTCCTGGGTCCCATCAACTGGTCCCAGACCCTGTGGCTGCACACAGCTTGAATACGTAGTCCAGTCTTCAAAGAACACCCCAACAGTACCAAATGCAGGAATGAATGAAGGAATGCATTCCTTGTGTCTCCTCTCCGGGCCAGATCCCACACAGGCCACTGGGACCACAGAGAGAAAGAAACAGGGTTGATTCCTGACTTAAAAAAAAAAAAAAAAATTATGTTTATTTATTTTTGAGAAAGAGAGAGCGAGCAAGTGGGGGAGGGGCCGAAAGCGAGGGAGGCACAGAATCCGAAGCAGGCTCCAGGCTCTGAGCTGTCAACACAGAGCCTGATGTGGGGCTCGAACCCATCAACCGTGAGATCGTGAGCTGAGCCGAAGTCAGACGCTTAACCGACTGAGCCACCCAGGCACCCCTGATTCCTGATTTTCGTGAGGACAGCCTAGAACCCAAATCAGTGCCCCTGAGCATAATAGTCAACAAGCCATATGGGGTCACCGGGAGGGAGGGGCAGCCAGGGGGGAGCAGTCCACCCCTCAGGCCAGAGAGGGGAGTCAGCAGCATGCTTCATGGGGTGGGGGGGCATTCAGCCAAATCTTTGGGGAAGGATTTTCCAGGCCTAGGGCTGAGGAGATATTGCCAGACAGCCCAGACTTTCCAGGGGCCACACGTGTTTCACACAGGGAGACTGGGACCCAGGGAGCATGGAAGCCAGGGGCCTTGACGGCTGACTAAGGAGCTGGAACTTTCTCTGCAGTCAACAGGGAGCCAGGGAAGATGTAAGGCTCAGGGCGACACCCCCAGCTTGTCACTATTGTAAGCCCACAGTGATGGTCGATGAGGCTGGACAGGCAGGGTGGGCCTGGGGACAGAGGATGGTGAAGCGTTCCAGTAAGGGACGGGGAGGTTCGTGCTGGCACAACGGCCATGTGGCCGCCATTACAGGGCTGCCAGGACATTGGTGGGGGGAGAGGGGCTGGCAGGTTCGCTCGCTGAGAGAAGACACCCAGAGGAAGAGGGAGCGTGCTGGAGGGGAAGGTGGTTGGGTGCGTAGGCCTCAACTTTCCTCCTTGTACCTGGGCCCCAGCTCCCCCCTCTCACCTCAGATAGCTTTCCTCCAGGTGGGTGGTGGGCAGTGAGGGAATCCTTCACCCAGGCAGCCTGGAGCTAAACTCAGATGACAGGCTTGGCCAGAGGCGGGCTCGGAGGCCTGATGCCTCCCGTTCAGTGAGGCTGTGTGCCCACAGGCAGAACCCAGGCACCTACTCAGACCCCGCGGCTGTCATGGTGGGCTGCAGGGCCTGGGCCTGCTTTGGACGGGCACTGAGGCCTACTGGTGTGAGAATCTGTGCCAGGGCCATGGGGAAAGAGGGTGGTGGCCCCAGGAGCTTGGGCGTTCCAGCCGCCCACGGAGCAACAGGCAGCAGGCCCTGGCAGGGAGCAGGCTGGACTGTGGGTGGCAGGGAGCCCTGGCCCGCAGGCAGCTGGCTTTCTACTCCTCCCCGGACCACCATCCAGCTCATCACTTTTCCCCACGGGCCCAGACAAGTGGATGGAGACGCAGGGCTTTCGTGTGTGTCTCACGAGGGGGCATCAGACAGGCTTGGCATCTAGCCCCAGCCCTGCTCTGGCTCAGTACCTTGGGCAACTGACTGAACTTCTCTGAGCCCATCTCTCCACTCTGAAATGAAGAGATGAACTTGGCATCGTGCCTGGTCTCTGGTGGGGACTCACTGAAGAAGGGCAGCTGTAGACGAAGACAAAGCAGGCAGAGACCCCTGAGCGTGACTGCGGCACAGGAGGAAGGGTCTAGATCTCCTGCCAGAGATCCTAACGTTGTCGTCACTGTCTTGATTATTGCCTCCTAGAGGCCTCCTCTGGACAGGGGTCCCGGGCCTCTGGGACCAGTACAAAGAGCACAGGAAGGGGGGGAATGTCCAGACTCCCCTTGACCACCCCTTGACCACCAGTCTTCATGACATTAGAAGGTTTTGCTGAGGGTCAGAAAAACATCACCAGCCCAAGGTGGCAGGAGGGAGGGGAGCCCAGTTCTGGCTGTGGTTCCACCCTTACCTGGCCTTTCTCTGGCTTTAGTTGTCCTTTGTACCCAGTGGCCGGGCATCCAGCTTCTTTGACCCCACACAGGCCACTCCCCTTCGGTCTCCAACACTGCTTGCTCAGATTCCCATAACTGGGATGCCCTCTTCCTCTTCTCTGGTGTTCCGAGCCCTCCTGGGGCCCCAGCACTCGCCCAGTCCCGGGATCCTTGCCCCAAAGCAGCCCAAGTACTTTTCACTGAGTCCCACAGCCGGGTTTGGGCCTGTACATTCCCTCTCAGCCCAGCCTGATGGCCAGGGGCCCAATCTTCTCCCCTCTTTGGCTCAGGCCATGCGCTTCAGGGCAGGAAGTGGGCCTTGGTGTCCCCATGTACCCCTCGCAGCCTGGGCACGTGACCCCAAGCAGTTCTCCCCCCTGATTCTACCCCCACCAGCTCTGCGTCCCCCTCTGTAACGGGGGGCGACACTGCCCCCGTGTGCCTCGTGCACAGGTAAGAATTCGAAGTAAGTGCTGTCCGTGGATGTTCTCAGTGAATCCTCATTGCGGTCCTGGGAGGTAGAGTCTGTCGTTTATTCCCTGTTCATAGGTGAGGCGATGGAAGTTTGACAGAAGCAGTGAGTGGCTTCCCCAAGGGCTCAGAGCCGGTGAGAGAGGGAGCCGGAAATGCACCCGGGACAGCAGACAGGGCGCCCCGCTGGGCCGCGCTGCCTTAAGGGAGCAGAGGCTGTGCACATACTGTGCACCCTGTCGAGCTCTCCGCGGGGAAAGGGAGGGTCGCTCTTGTCATCTGACCTGTGGGAGAGGGAATCAGTGACTTACGGAAGCCACGCTGAGCCCATGGCACAGCCAGAGCGCTGACCCCCACTTCAGGCTCTTCCCCTACCTCGGGACCTCCCATTTCCTTGAGTCACATGTGACGACAAATCTCCTTGGCTCCAGAGCGCGTGCATCAGGTGGCTCCGACCATGATCTGCCCACAGAGTCTTAGGTGTTGGCTGCATGGGCACCGAGCCAGTCGGCCCCGACCTCTCCACCACCAGGCCACCATCACCGCGCAAGGCAAGAGTCCCAGTTTACAAACGCATGAGCCCAGAGGCAGCCGGGACACGCGGTTCTGGCCACACCCCGCATCTCAGATCACCTCTTCAACCAGAGACATGCCTGTTTGTTAAGAAACGTCTAGGGGCACCTGGGTGGCTCAGTCGGTTAAGCGGCCGACTTCGGCTCAGGTCACGATCTCGCGGTCCGTGAGTTCAAGCCCCGCGTCGGGCTCTGTGCTGACAGCTCAGAGCCTGGAGCCTGTTTCGGATTCTGTGTCTCCCTCTCTCTGACCCTCCCCCATTCATGCTCTGTCTCTCTCTGTCTCAAAAATAAATAAACGTTAAAAAAAAAAAAAAAGAGAAAGAAACGTCTAATGTGGGGCACCCGGGTGGCTCAGTCAGTTGAGCATCTGCCTCTTGATTTCGGCCCAGGTCACGATCTCATGTTTGTGGGATCAAGCCCCGGGTCAGGCTCTGCGCCGACCGTGGAGTCTGCTTAAGATTCTCTCTCTCCCTCTGTCTCTCTGCCCCTTCCCTGCTTGCACTGTCCCCACCCCCCCCCCAAAAAGAAATGTCTAATGACGTCAGGGGTCCGACCTGAGAGCTGGGTGGGGGATGATGAACTTGGTAGAGGTGAGGGTGGAGGTACATTTGGAGGTGAAGGTAGAGGTGAGGGAGGAGGAAAAGATAGGATGGAGGAGATATCAGTGGTGACGGTGACACTGCTGTGGCGAGTGATATTGGAGGCAACAGTAACAGAATAACAGCTGGAGAACTGCTGAGAGCAGCTCTTGCTTGACTCAGGCCCCGACCCTGAACATGGCTGCTCGTGCAGCCACAGATTTCACTTCAGTCTCAGGAGCCCCTCTCACCAGTGTCACTGATGAACATTTGGCTCCGGGTAGGATAAGGGGCAGTAAGGGGACCCAGTTGCCTCCGAGGCATTCGCTAATGTGAACAAAACATCAGGCGTGAGTCAGGCAGCTGATGAGGTGAGGGTTCCCAATCCAGGAAGAGGCCCAGTGCCTGGGGCGGGGAGGGGGGGGCGGGGGGCAGACAGTTGGGAGGTAACCTGGGGACAGCCCCTTCCGTTCCAGAAAGGAAGCGAGGCCCAGGCCGCAGTCATGCATGATAGCAAAGGCATTACTGAGTGCATGTGGAACGGCCCTGGGCTCCCGGGCTATCAAGAGAAGGAGGCCAAGCCCAGCAGAGGGTCTGCTGAGGATGACACTGGGACAAGAAGGCTCCAGGTGCGGTCCGAGCGTGCGCTCTGGGGCGGCCCCTGGGCTTTCCAGCATCTTTGGCAAGCGCCCGCAAATCCCTCCTCTGTGGTCATCATCGACACGCGAATACTGCAGGCCCGCCATGACCAGGCCTCAAGCTTTTCCATTACCCACGGGCGTCCTGCCCCACCCCGCCGCCGGCCGCAGTCCGCCGGCGCACCCACTGCTGGCCTCTGCCAGGACCCCCGGCGAGGGCCTGGCCTGGAAGAGCCTTGCCGGGGTGCCGGCCAGCCTTCCCAGTGTGCTGCCCGGGCAGTGGGCCTTGCCAGGTGTCAGACTCAATTTCCCGACCCTTCTTGTCCAGAGAACCAAACATCTCGTCCCTCCACCCAAGGCAGGTCCTCCCAGGCCGCTTCCTTGGCAGCACGAAGACCCCTGGGGGAAGAGGGGCCAGTCAGACTCACCAGCCAGGCGGGGGGTGGCGGGGGGAGCAGAATGCAGGAAGGTCATTCACCCCATTTGTCACCTACCTCTCAGTAGGCTGCCGGCCAAAAGGGAGGCAAGGTTGCTGGATGGAAGGGCCGGGGGGGGGGGTGGAGGGGCAGCTGCGGGCAGGGTGGATGGAGGTAATGGGGTGGGGGGACGCGGGGCCAGGGGGTCTGGAGACAGGGGTTCAAGCCCCTGACTCACCCTGTCCCGTGGGCAAGACGGGCCCAGCGTTCCGCTGGTAAATAAGGTCAGTGAGTAACAGGACTTTTGAGGTCCCTCCCACCTTCCATTAGTCAGCAAACCTCCCTCCCACAGCCAATCCCACGTCCCTTGCGCAGCTTTGCATTGGTTGTTGTTGTTGTTTTTAAACAACAGCTCTGTTGTGATAGAATTCACATACGGTATACTTCGCCCACTTAAAGTGTAAAACTCAATGGTTTTCAGCATACGCGTGGAGTTGTACGGCCATCTCCACAGTTAATTTCAAAACCTTTAATGGCCCCTTTAGCCACCACCAACACCCAACGCCCGATCCTTCCGAGACCCCTATCCCCCACCAGTCCTAAGAAGCTACTAATCTACTTTCTGTCTCTATAAACTTGCCTCTTCTGGACACTTCATGGAATCATTGCTCCTTTACAGAAGGAGGACACTGGGCAGACTGCCTGCCTGTTGCCCCCAAACCAGCTCCTGTCTGGGGCCCCCTACTGCCCCAGGCCCTGGGCTCCGCAACTGCCAGGCCTTTGGGCCGCAGACTCGTTCTGTTCCCTCCATCTGGCGCGAGTCCCATCTCTCTCTCCTTCTTGGTGACCCCTTTCCTTTTCTTCCCCCAACACTCACCAGCCAAACCCCTCTCCCGGGACCACTGTGACATTGCCCACTTCTCACTTCCTTCCCACGGTGGGAACAGTCCTAAAGTAAAAACCCAGTCCAATCACCCTGACCCAGCACAAAATCTTTCTACAAGCCTCCATTACCCTCAGGATACGGCCCGGACTTCTGCCCCCGCCCCAGTGTGTTCTGATCTGGATCCCCCTGATCAAAGGTGTGTGTTTGGGAGATGATTCCAAGAGACAGGAGGGAGGAGAGGGAAAGCACGAGAGCCCCAAGAAGGCTCTGGAGATCTGCTATAGGCAGCAGGGGCTCAATTCTACCAGAATCTCCGGGGATTGCACAGAATGCTACCCAGATTGGTCTGTTCCAGGGACAGGAGACGGGCATTTTTCTGGTGGCCCTCATCCCTCACGGGCCAGGAGAGGTAACCCCCATCCCCACATTCCAGGTTGTACATGCTGTCGGGCCAAGAGGGCCCCCAGCTTGGAAGGCTCGGACACAGAAAGATGCTGCAGTCAGTTCTCTTAGAGCACTCCACCCAGATCCCCTTTGCCAGGCTCTGCACCCACACTATGTGGGCTGTGGACCTTGGCCCTTCTCCAGAGAACACCCCTCAGCTGATGGGAATCATTAGCTTGGAAGCTGAGCAGCCTACAGTCCAGGATAAACTAAAATGGGGGCTCCCTTGCCTCGGGTAGGGGGTCAACACTGGGATGCAGTTTATGCTCCAGACCTTCCCTGTGGATCGGGCCGAGAACCGACTTTCTCTGAAGCCGCATTCTGCTTCCCCGTCTCAGGAAATCGTGGCACCTAATCCTTAACTCGGGCTCTGCTTCTGGGGAACCCAACAGAGCCAGGCACGTGTGTGCGAGGCAGGGCTGCTGACATCAGTCAGAGCCACCCACCAAAGCCGAGGGGGAAATCCTAGGCGGGCGGCTACACCAGATCCGCAGCTTCTGACCACAGAGGCCCGACACGTCTCTGTGTCTCCCCTCCTATCTCATTCCTCCCAGACTGCAGCCAAATGCAGTAGCGCAGGAGGAAATGTGTCCCTGGGGAAATGTGGGGCCCACCCCATGTCATGACTGTCTTACTTTGGTCTGGACCACAAACCTCACAAGGCCACGAGGACAAGAACTTGGCTGCACGTGGGCCTCGGAATAGAGTTAGAAGGGCAGACTTGGGGACCAACAGCCTCGGGCAGAGTCTGGCTGGGGGTGGCCCTGTAACTGGAAGGTCAGATTTGAAAAGGAGGGCAGAGGGTCCCAAAGGCAGGCATCAATCAGCCTTGAGGGGGGCCCATGAGGGAGTAGCAGTGTTCTCACATGACATTCAAAGTCCCGTGTGGGTGGGTGGATAGTCCAGGGAGCTGAGGGCCAAATACAGAGGCCGAGGAGGGGTGACTGGCTGGGGGTGGGTGGCGGAGACAGGGACTCAGGTCTGTCGCAGAAGGCTCAAGTCCCACAATCAGGGACGGCCCTGTGAGAATAAGGCCCGCACTCAGAGAGCAAACATGCGGTTAGATCAAGAGCCAGGCTGACTTGAGGTAAAGCCCCAGATGGATGGTCTAGAACTATTTAAGTCCCCCGGTCCCAGGGCAGGTCCAAATGGGCCCAAAGCCTGAGGTGGAGCTGAGCCCACCCGTGAGAGAACAAGAAAGAGGCTATCAGTACCAGGAAAGAGAGCTCCCCCTAGGTCAGGAGGCAGGTGGCCCAACTCTACACACCCAGCAAATTTGAATAAATGCCTGCTGACTGCCTAGCTCTCGTGTAGCCAATCAACAGCTCTGAGCACCAGTTATTGAACAGCACTCATGTTAGGTGATTTAAGGTCCTGTCCACGCGCTTAGCATCTCTTCTGGAATTGGGTGGATACTGGCTTTCTGCAGACACATTCAGGCTTCTGCCATAGCCTAGCACCCCCAGAACTAAAAGTACCTTGGGACCCAGGATCATGCCCACTGACCCTCTCAGGGAGGCCCGATGAAAGGGGGCTCCTCAGAGTAGAACCACATTTCCCCTCGGGTTACAGCTGAATGAATAAATGAAAGTATAAAACTCACCTGGTAAAGGTAAATATATAGTCAAATTCAGAATACTCTAATAATTTAATGGTGGTATATATATTACTTTTAACTCTAGTATAAAGGTTAAAATACAAAGGGCTTTAAAATAACTATACCTGGGGTGCCTGGGTGTCTCAACGGCTAAGCATCGACTCTTGATTTCGGCTCAGGTCATGATCTCACAAATTTGTGAGACAGAGCCCCACATCAGGCTCCAGGCTCAGCATGGAGTCTGCTTAGCATTCTCTCTCTTTCCCTCTCTGCCTTGCTTTTACTCTCAAAATAAATAAATAAATAAACTTAAAGAAAACACAGCTATACCTACAAGAATTTGTTCATGGGAACAATTCTATTTACAATAGCATCAAAAAGAATAAAATACTCAGGAATAAAGGTAGCTGAGGAGGTGAAAGATCAGTAGAGCGAAAACCGTAGAATACTGATGAAAGAAATTGAAAAAGACATAAATAAATGGAAAGATATCCCATGTTCATGGACTAGAAAACAACATTGTTGAAATGTCCATTCTATCCAAAGCAATTGACAGATTCAGTGCAATCTCTATCAAAATTCTAGTGACATTTTTCTTTTTTGCAGAAATAGAAAACACAATATTGGAATTCACATGGAATCATAAAAAAACACTGAATAGCTAGTGTAATCTTGAGCAAGAAGCTGGAGGCATGACACCTTTTGATTTCAAATTCTATTACAAAGTTATGGCAATCAAAATAATATGATACCAGCAAAAAGCCCAGACATATCAGTCAGTGAAACAGAGAGCCCAGAAATATGCCCTTGCATGTGTAGTCTACTCATCTTAGACAAAGGCTCCAAGGATACACACTGGGGAAAGGATAGTCCCTTCAATAAATGGTGTTGGGGAAAATTGGATATTTACATGCGAAAGAAGGAAGTTGGACTCTTAAACCCCACACAAAAACTAAACATAAGATCTGAAACTGTCGGGATGCCTGGGTGGCCCAGTCAGTTAAGTATCCAATTCTTGGTTTCAGCTCAGGTTATGATCTCACAGTTTGTGAGCTTGAGCCCCACATCAGGCTCTGAGCTGGCAATTTGGAGCCTGCTTGGGATTCTCTGTCCCCCTCTCTCTCTCTGTCCTTCCCCTGCTCATTCTGTCTCTCTCTCTCTCTGTCTTTCAAAAATAAAAAGTAAAAGGGCGCCTGGGTGGCGCAGTCGGTTAAGCGTCCGACTTCAGCCAGGTCACGATCTCGTGGTCCGTGAGTTCGAGCCCCGCATCGGGCTCTGGGCTGATGGCTCAGAGCCTGGAGCCTGTTTCCGATTCTGTGTCTCCCTCTCTCTCTGCCCCTCCCCCGTTCGTGCTCTGTCTCTCTCTGTCCCAAAAATAAATAAACGTTGAAAAAATAAAAAAAATAATAAAAAAAAATAAAAAGTAAAAAAAAAAAAACTTAAAAAAAAGATCTGAAACTGTAAAACTCTAAGAAGAAAACATAGGGGAAAGTCTTCTTGACATTGGTCTTGGCACCAAAAGCACAGACACCAAAAGCAAAATTAAATAAGTGAAGCTACATCACATTGAAGTTTCTGCACTGCAAAGGAATCAACCAACGAAATGAAAAGGCAACATACGGAATGGGAGAAAATATTTGAGAACCATATATCCAATAAGGGGTTAATATCCAAAATATACAAGGAGCTCATGCAACTTAATAGAAAAAAACAAAATGAAACAAAAATGAAAAACAAGGATCCTAACTTCAAAATGGGCAAAGGACCTGAATAGAGCTCTTTCTCCTCCAAAGAAGACATACAGATGGCCAACAGGTAAAAAAAAAAAAAAAAAAAAAAAAAAAAGGCTAAGAGGTATATGCATCATATGCATCATAATCAGTCATCAGGGAAATGCAAATCAAAACCACAATGTGATATGACCTTACGTCTGTTAGAATGGATATTATCAAAAAATTTTAAAATAACAATTGTTGGAGAGCCTATAAAAGAACCTATGGGAACCTATGGGGTGCCTGGGTGGCTCAGTCGGTTAAGCGTCCAACTTCGGCTGAGGTCATGATCTCCGGTTCATGGGTCTGAGCCTTGCGTTGGGCTCTGTGCTGACAGCTCAGAGCCTGGAGCCTGCTTCAGATTCTGTGTCTCCTTCTCTCTCTGACCCTCCCCCACTTGCACTTTGTCTCACTCCAAAAAATAAATATTTTTTTAAAAATTTTAAAATTAAAAGAAAAAGGAAAGGGAACCTTTGGCATGCTTGGGTGGCTCAGTTGGTTGGGCATCCAACTCTTGGCTTCAGCTCAGGTCATGATCTCACAGTTCATGAGATCAAGCCCCCCATTGGGTTCTGTTCTGACAGCGTGGGGCCTGCTTGGTATTCTGTCTCCCTCTTTCTCTCTCTGCCCCTCCCCTCTCTGCTCTCTATCTCCCTCTCAAAATAAATTTAAAAAATAAAAATAAACTTAAAAAAAAGAAAAAGAACACTTATACATTGTTAGTAAGGATGTAAGTTGGTACAGCCATTATGGAACACAGTATGGAGTTTCCTGAAAAAATTAAAAATAGAATACCGTATAATCCAGCAATCCTAA